TATTCCCAAGGCAATTCAATTCCTTTACCGTGATATGAACCATGAAAGTCTCAGCCAGCTTGGGTCTTTTATCCATAGCACGATAGAGAATTCATTATTGAGCAATATTCTGCAGGCATGCACACCGATTAGACATGAATGGGGTGTCTGCAAACTGTGGTTAATCACACAAGTCGAAAACAATGGGCAAGAAATATAAACACAGGGCTGATTCTGAGCGTATTCAAAATGGTATGTCCTGACGGATTTTACGAAAAAAAGTTATCAGTAAAATGAAGAACAGAGGGAACACGACATCATTAGTACTCGAATAGCATGCAGGGCATGGGACCGAGTCCAAGTAACTGATTCCTTGACTTCCTTTCCTTGATTGCTCGAAGTTAATCTACCATAGCTCGATGCTTCTTCAATTATCTTCGGCTGAAATTTATCGTCGCGGGCGTGGAGAGGCAAAACTGGCGGGGTGGGGAGACAGCTCAGAATAATGGGAACTGTGGTGTTCTATCCTCTGTGTTGGTGAGAGAGAGGATGGGAACTACTGATTGTACTACACATTAGGGGTGCACTACTGAAATTGCACCAAAGTATGAATAACATAAAAACTTGTGTTTGTAGAATGAGTATATTTCTTGAATTCATTTCATGATAATTGATTTACACTTTACTAGTAGTAGAAATTTTGAAATCTAATCTAATCAAATAAAAAGTGTGTAGATCCATTTTTGTTTGCTTATTGCATGCCCAAAAACCATGATTGGTATTTACTTACAAAATTTTTAAGTTAAAATTAAAAAAAAAAAAAACTTAACTAATAACATGATACTCCTAATTTTTGATGCATCATGTTATGTGTGTAATATTACCCATAACCATGATTGGTACTTACTAACAATTTAAAGTTAAATTAAAAATACTTCAACAATAACATAATACTACTCCTAATTTATAATGTGCTCATGTATGTGTGCTCAGTCTTTTACATACATATGTAATTACATGTTGATGTGAATGATATTTCAGTCAAAAAAAAAAAAAAGAATACCATATTGGCAGTGGATAAGATAATTAGGAAAAGGGAAATTGCACAAATCGCCCCTCACATATTAACGATGTGAAAATTTAGTCTCTCAGAACGAAAATGAGCATTTTTAGCCTATTACAATAAAAAAAAAGGATCAATTTTGGTCCCTGTTAGCTTTTCTGTGTGAATTCTTGACGGACCCGGTCACGGGAACATCACGTGACCAATTTTTGAGAGACAAAAAGGGCAAGTCACTCAGATCTTGACCAAAATGTAGAGGACCAGTTCTTGACCAACCTGAAATTTGTGGTCTTGCATGTCCCGCATTACGATTGAATCTTGGATACTTGACCCTCTTCCTCGACTGCATTTTCTCTTCTTCTAAATCGCAAGCACTGTCAAAATTTTCTGATTCAGTAGCATCTTCATCAAATTCAGCTCCCACCATTTCAGGTTGACTGCTTGTCCCCTTAGTGGATCCACTGTTCCTCACAACTTTATCCCACTCGGCTTTTCTTTGTCTGACTTGTTGCATTATGTACTCCTTATCACTAAATTGATAATCACTATCAATAAATCCATCATCTTCCTAGTGATACTGGTCCTCTACATTTTGGTCAAGATCTGAGTGATTTGCCCTTTTTGTCCCTCAAAAGTTGGTCACGTGATGTTTCCGTGACTGGGTCTGTCAAGAATTTACATGGAAAAGCTAACAGGGACCAAAATTGATCCTTTTTTTTTTTATTGTAATAGACTAAAAATGCTTGTTTTCGTTCTGAGAGACTAAATTTTCACATTGTTAATATGTGAGGTACAATGTGTGCAATTTTTCCTTAGGAAAAGATGACCTAATGTGTCGACACTGAAAGTTCCTTCTCCTTATATCATGGAAAGTGTATAGCATGTAAGATGGTAGATGATTTGTATGGGTGACTTTTTTGCTTGGGCCACCTTCCAATGTCTCTGGCAAAAAATGAAAGGACCAAAAAAGCCTCTATTTCGATTTCAAGATTACCTTATTTCACACTCAAGGACTCAATTAAAGCTTGTATTGAGATGAGATTAGGATTGCAAAGAAGTTGAGTCAAGTCGAGTTTTGACCTAGTTGAATCGAGTTAATTTTGATTCAATTTTACCAAATTCGAACGCAAACTTGAATTTGATGAGCTCTCAATGTAAAGTTTGAATTCAAATTTGATCTCAAATTTGAGTCAAGTCGAATTCGAGTTCGAACCTGCTCAAACTTAAAAGAAATAATTATTTTATTTTTTTTAAAAAAGAATAAAATAGTAATTTTTCTTTAATCAAATAATAAAATATTAGAAATATATATAATTTCACTATTAAAATAAAAAAAAATAATACATAGATACATATATATATGTATAGTTGAGTGGCTCATGAGCTAACAAGTTGAGTTTCTTTATGCTCAAACTTGAGCTTGATATTTGACCAAACTCGAATCCAAATTTGACTGAACCAACTCACGAGCACTTGTGAGGAGTTGATTCGTTTGCAATCCTAATTGGGATCAAATTTCTTTATTTGAATTTGAGATAAACTGAAGCTTAGTTCTATATAAAGCGATCGCTTAGTTCTATATAAAGCGATCGATTCCCTTCTTTTATAATTGTCTCAAATATCCCGATTTGGGAGAAAATAATAAAATGAAGCAATTTTTAGAGTGAAAAACCTGGGAAGCCTCTAAACCATCATTATTATCCACTTTTGGTCCTTGATTTATTTTTGTCTCCAACTAGCTCTTGAACAATTCAAAGTGTAGAGTTTAAGGGCTTTTGACCATTTTAAAAATAAATTCTACTCGAAACCAAGGGCATTTTTGTCCAAACTATGATCAAAATTATTGAGAGTACAAGTAAAAGTATTGAAAAGGGAAAACTCTTCATTTTTCTTGAATTCTTCATCAAATTTCTCTACAAAATTTTTAAATTCATTGATTTTTATACTCGAATGCCCAAAGTTTCATTAGATTTTTCATGTCCCTCTCAAGTATGAAATCAATAAATTTGGAAATTTTATGGAAAATTTTAATGAAGTGTTTAACCAAAATGAAGGATTTTCTTTTCTCAAAACTTCTACTCCTGCTCTCGATACTTTTGATTAATTTTGGACAAAAATGCCCTTCAATTCTGTTTGAATTTATGTTTAAAATGGCTAGAAGTCCTTAAATTATGCACTTTTAATTGTTCAAGGGCCAGTTGGAGACAAAAAAATTGATTAGGGGTCAAAAGTGGAGAACGATGATAGTTTACGGGTTCCTTAGGTTTTTTTACTCCAATTTTAAGGGTTCCTAGGTTTTTTTACTTCAATTTTGATCTTGTTATGTTTTAAAAGTAAATGACGAAAAAAATTCAATTAGTGAAACATGATAGACATTTTGAATGATTTTTTCTTAAATAAAGCTAAAATTGTATTATTTTTAATTGAACAATTTCTTTCACGTGGACATATAAAATTGCAAACATTCTTTTTATTTATTTATTTATTTTATTTCATTAACAAGCAAAATAGGAGCATCAGCCAAGGAGGAACGAACTGTACCCGGAATTCATAAGGATAAGTGTTAAGATTTATGGGACGAATTTCATGCAATGAACTCTAAAGGATAAACACAAACACTTAGGTGATCTCATTTTTTAGGTTTTCCTACTGGATGTTCATTACGCATTCCTTGACACACATAAATTCCATTTAATCTATTACATATACATGTATTAACAATCATTACCTTTCTTTATATTTATATACCTTTCTTAATTAATCCGACCTTTCAAAAAATTCTAATACTTGAAATATATCTTAATAAATGTCACTCATAACCCATTGCACAAATCCTTCATTTTGTCTACGTTTACTTTTTTTTCTTTTCTTTGGTGATTGTAGATTAAGTATGTGCTACTTTGAGTAGTGCTTTTGAATAAGAAAGGTAACATTTGGTTCTTTAAATGAGTTGGAATGGTCAAGCAACTATCAGCGTGTGTAAAGCTCAATTATGAGTAAAATAGTAGTAAACCCACCTAATGTATTAATTTCTCGTTAAAGGGTATCATTAAATTCTCATGAAATTATTTGTCTATAATAGAAAATTATTCTTTGCCATTTTTTCAAAAGAAAATAGAAAAAAAATCTTGTTGAAAATACACATTATATTTTATTAATCAATCGAGAATATCTAAACTACTAAAATGAGTTGGAGTTGGTTTCACATTAATTGGTCCTTACATAAATACACGATATTTTAGTATCGTAGCACATGATATATGTGTGTGTGTATATATACACCCATACATGTGTATGTGTATTTATATGTATATATTCACAATTCACAATTTAAATCTACACCTTTATGACCAAGTTGACCAAAAAGCCCATAGCATTTTTGCAGCTTGGTAGAAACTTTTTCACTAAAAAATTAATCTTTTTTTTGGGGAAAATAGATGGTACTAATTTGGATTTAAAATTTACAACATTATGAATGGTATTAAAATTTCTGATATTTTTTTTATTCACTTTGATGGCATTTTTCCCTCTTATGTGGTAGAGAGAATGTTTTTATCTATTTTTATCATGTAAGAGGAGATGAGAGACTTTTTAATTATATTAAGAAAATATTTTTATTATTTTGATATGTTGCATTTTAAAGTTGATTGAAATATAAATTTAGAAGACAACGAAAATATGTTTAAAAAGTTAATATCAAATTTTAATTAATTGAAATATAATTTTTAGACCGAGAGGACCACCCTATGTACATACATACATACATACATATACATATACATATATATATATGTATATTCTTTTTGGTTAAGAAAATGAAGATACTACGCAATAATTGTATGAAGGACAGCGCACATGGGCAATAATCCGCTACTTCCCACCGGCTAAACCCGGGTTAATCCGATCCAATTGGCAACCCTAACCTGAATCCCCATGCAAGAAAATCAGACCCCTTTCTTGGGCGGTACGAGAAGAAATCACGAAATCTCACGCCCTTTCTCTCTCCCCAAAAAATAAAGCAGGTTTTCAAAACTCTCCCCCTTTCCGCTTTCTACTTTCTCCTTCCGCCTTACGAGTCAAAAGACTCAAAACTCGCGCAACGCTAGGGTTTCAGTACTCCCCTCTCTCGATCTCTTCCGCACACAGTAGAACACGGTAGCTAACGCACAGTTGATTTGATTGGTCTCAATTCTCAGCCGACGACAGTCCATCTATGGCTGAGGAACCAGTAAACGACGCCGTTGCTTCTCCGTCTCCGGCCAGTCAATCCAATAGTAGTGTTGTGCTGTTGGGGAGCTCGGTCATTCCGATCGTCAACAAGCTCCAGGACATATTCGCGCAGCTCTCCAGTCAGTCTACAATTGAACTGCCGCAAGTGGCGGTCGTCGGCAGCCAGAGCAGTGGAAAATCCAGTGTTCTGGAGGCACTAGTCGGAAGAGATTTCTTGCCCAGAGGTTCGGATATTTGTACTCGACGACCTCTCGTTCTTCAGCTCGTGCAGACTAGACGAAAGCCTGATGGCACCGATGAAGAGTGGGGAGAGTTTTTGCATCTTCCTGGAAAGAGATTCTACAACTTCAATGAAATTAGGAAGGAGATTGAGGTGAATTGCTAGGGTCTAACTCTGCATTTATGTGCCTATTTTTGCATTTGTTATTTTAAGTCTTTAAAAAATTGTGAAAGCATTTGTATTCCGCAATTGTTTTTCATTATCCTAAATTTGAATCGTTACAATTTCATGAATTAAAAGCTTTAAATATGTAGGTGTGTTGCAGATTTAGGTGCATGAGTGAAAGTATCTGTACAAAGGTTAATGATTGTGGTGATTGTATCATTTTTCTATTTGGTTATTTGGATTTTGTGGAATGTAACGCTTTTGTTTCATGTTCTCGAGCTGTTATTGGTTCAGCGAGTCATATATAATTCATGTACCGCAACACTTGCTACTTTGTAGGCTACTGTGCTAGGCCTCCTATGCAAAATTTTTGTTAATTGTTGCACTAGAAAAGATACATTTTCATGTTAATACCATTTTATGTCCTTCTACGTAAAATATTACTTATATACTGAGGTGAGACAACTGCTACCCTTACAATTTTTTGGCTGCAACTTTGTCTGTCCGCATATGATGTCCTTACTATCCATTACTAATACCTCCTTACTGATCTGATTGTTTTTATTTGACCTTAAGAAGTAAGCAGGAATTATGGGAATTTGAGACCCATTACATGGAATTTTTTTCTGAATAAGGCTGGGTGGTATACAATTGAGCCATTAAAATGATGTTCCCTATTATATGTACTCTCATGACAATGCACTAGTCAATTTGTTTTGGCACATGAATTGCCATACCATGTTGTGGTTTCTCACTACAGTTCCCTGTGATGCTTCAGTTGTAACCATGCTAATTCTGATCAAATGAAGATTGGAACCATTTATGATAATATCTGAGGGACAATTGCAGAAATTTGTATAATTAACTACTCATTATAAGTAAAAATAATGGTACCGTCTAGCAGGTTTAGCATCAGTTTGCTGTCCAGGTATAAAACTTATGCATTCAGTAAAGGTTTCTTGTTTGGACATCACATTTGTGAAAACAATAGTATTTTTGTTATGTGATGAACTGCTCATTAAAAAAAAAAAAAGAAAATGTGCTTTTAGATCAAAGGTCATCTTTTGTGTTTCATAAAACTGAAATTCAATCTGTTCTTTAGGCGGAGACAGTGAGAGAAGCAGGATTAAATAAAGGTGTTTCAGACAAGCAGATTCGTCTAAAGATTTTTTCACCAAACGTTCTTGATATTACCCTTGTGGATTTGCCGGGTATTACAAAGGTCCCTGTGGGTGATCAGCCTTCTGATATTGAAGCACGTATCAGAACAATGATAATGTCTTATATCAAACGTCCTACCTGCCTAATACTAGCTGTTACACCAGCGAATGCTGACTTGGCAAATTCAGATGCTCTTCAAATTGCTGGAGCTGCTGATCCTGATGGTAGGTTCTGGTGTCTTTATTTCTCTTGTTGAAAGCAGTTAAATGTGTGAAAGCTGCTAGTTTATTTGAAATTTGTCAATTCTCGAGTTTAACACAAGTTTCTATTGGCAGGGCTGCGAACAATTGGTGTGATAACCAAGGTAAGCCCCATTTTTTCTCCTTAGATAAAATACATAATGATATACATCTGGGTTTTAAGGTTTCCTATATTAAGTTGAATATTCTGTTTATGAATTCTTTGTACCTGTCTGCTGCTTCAGTTGGATATTATGGACAGGGGTACTGATGCCCGCAACTTTTTGCTTGGAAAAATAATTCCGCTTAAACTTGGCTATCTTGGAGTTGTGAACCGTAGTCAAGAGGTATCATTCTTTTCTTGTCAATCATGAAATGTAGTTCAACTAAACAGATATGCCTGTGGTGTTTTCTATAGTCTGGGTTTTATATGCCTGTAGTGTTTTTTTAAAGCACTTCTTTATTTCAGCATCTGGAAAGATAATGGAACTACCATCTAGTGTACATAAATTTTGACTTGCATAGAGATGCTGTAAGATAAGTATGGGTTAGTGAGGCCTTATTATTTTTTTTTGAAGAAAGTCCTTTTGTGATCCGCTTACTTGGCCCTTTAACAGGACATAATGATGAATCGGAGTATTAAGGATGCACTTATCGCTGAGGAGAAATTTTTCCGTAGTCGCCCAGTATGACTTCTGACTTTTTTTTTACTTTTTAGTTCATATGTTGCTCTGGTTTACCCTACTTCATTTTCCTTGCTGTTTTAATGTAGGTGTACAGTGACCTTGCCGATCGCTGTGGCGTACCTCAGTTGGCAAAGAAGTTGAACCAGGTATTTATGGATTTCTGACTCACAACATTCTCATGCAACTCTTTTTGCTATAGAGTATTATATTAAACGCTGAGTCATTTTTATTGCTTAGGTATATTGCCCTTGACGTGTCAATTTGATAATGTCATGCATTTTTTCTAGGAGATGCGTACTTAGAAGTGGAGTAACAAGAAACTATACTTGCCATGCTCTTCTCTGTTCATAAATTCCAGTTTTGTCTTATCATTTAGAAATGATATCCTCTTAATTTGTTATCTCCATGATGTTTTTTACGGTATTCTGCTGTTCTGTAAATCAATCATGATGGAGCTGGCTTGTCTTTTTGCAGCTTTTGATACAACATATCAAGGCTGTTCTTCCAGGATTGAAGGCACGCATCAATTCTAGTCTGGTTAGTGTTGCAAAAGAACACGCTAGCTATGGAGAAGTAACTGAATCAAAGGTATAGTCTGTAATGCAATTTTATATGAAAGTGTTGTCTGTTTGCAGATCATTTTGAGTCCGATTAGAACTTTCTTCTTCATATAATTTGAATTGGAAAGCTGTAGCTATACGATGTTCTTTTGGTTGATTAACCTGTCATCAACTGAATGTGGTCTGATCTTTTAGGGTTTTCCGTGCGAGTTTATATTTGTTGACTGTTATAATACGCTTCCTAACAGTGTAACTAATTCTTTGTTGTACTCTCTAACCATAGGCCGGTCAGGGGGCACTACTGCTTAATATTCTTTCGAAGTACTGTGAAGGTAATGCTGCCATGCATTTTGTTTCTTTGTGAGTGTTGTGTGTCTGAGAAGTGTTCGATGTAAAATATGAAAAGTGTTTAACAGTGAGTTTGTTTGGATAAGAGCTTATTTGGATGATTTATTTGAGATAATTACTGTAGCACTTTTTTGTGATGTGATGTATGTGAGATAAAAAAGTAATTGGAATTTGTGAAGCAAATTATTTTATTTCAAATCTTCTCAATCCAAACACACGCAGTATTTTGCTTTAGCTGCCAGCTCCTTTTGGTGGGGGGACCACTACTGGGATGTCATAGGTCATTGATGACATTACCTTTTCTTTCTTAAACAGCTTATTCTTCAATGATAGAGGGAAAGAATGAAGAAATGTCTACTTCTGAGCTCTCTGGAGGAGCAAGAATCCATTACATCTTCCAGAACATATATGTGAAGAGTTTGGAGGTATATAATGTTGATATGGATTTATGCTGTCAGTTGTAAATTTTTGAAGCTCTGCAATATTTGGTCTCTTTATTTTTCGTTGATCTTTTCATGGTCAACCTTTGAAATTTTTCCATAGGATATGAGTTTGCACATAATTAGGAACTAGCATGTTTGTACTAAATGTTATGACCGTCTCTTTGTTTTCCTGAAAAAGCAAAATTGACCATTATTGGGTTAGTGAGAGAGAAAAAAGAGGAAACAAAAAAGGAAGCAAGAACAAAACACACTTCAATTGAGTGTAAAAGCATTTTGTTGTTATAATGCTTACTTGTTTGGTTTTAGTTCCCCTACTCATTTGCAAGTAAAAGCCATGGGTGTGCTTTATCAGATACACTTTTTTTTACAATTCTTTTTCCAAGTCTTTTTTTAAGAGAAAATGTTGGAGCATCCACTGATTTGTCTGCCATATTGGCTGGTAAATTATTTGTTCGTTTGCTTCGTCCAAATCATAGTATATATATCCAGTTTAAATTTCCAGTGCTGGCTTAGTTAAATTGCTGCTAACAAACTTGACCGAGATTGTTACATCTCACAGGAAGTGGATCCTTGTGAAGATTTGACTGATGATGACATTCGAACTGCCATTCAAAATGCAACTGGTCCTAAGTCTGCATTATTTGTACCAGAAGTGGGTCTTTTATCAAATTATCGCCTATTCATTGCTATCTGAAATGTATGAGTTAATGCAAAAATTTCTTACTTAATTGACAGTTTGTTTGTTGTATCTTTGTTTCTTGGGGAACTGCATCCTTTAGGTGCCATTTGAAGTTCTAGTTCGTAGACAGATAGCTCGTTTATTGGACCCTAGTCTTCAGTGTGCTAGATTCATTTATGATGAGCTGATAAAGGTGCGCTGCTTATATTTTCTGGACATGAGAAGTCTTAACCATATCTGGAGACTAATTCTGGTTATTTTCTCTCTTCAGATGAGCCACCGCTGCATAATCCATGAATTGCAACGCTTTCCTGTTCTTAGAAAGCGTATGGATGAGGTCACAGGGAACTTTTTACGGGAAGGCCTTGAACCCTCTGAAACAATGATTGGTCACATCATTGAGATGGAGGTATGGTATTTGGATGTTTTCCTCGTTTCTTGGCCTGAAGTATGTTTCCTGTATGCCATTTCCTTTCACCTATACTTGTAGAATAGGCCTGTGACATTGAAAAAAACTCACAATAGCCTTTTTCCTCTTTTTGGATTTTGTACAGATGGATTAATTATTTTACTTTCCCAGGAAATATGCAGCTTGTTTTGTTTATTCGTTTGTTTTTAAGAGGGTTACTTGACAAGAAGTGATTCTTGAAGGATCATTAAAAAGACCGGAAGCGTGCATTATGGTTAGAAGTTTTTAAAGTGAGAAAAAAAATTTTAAATTGAGAAGCTGTTCTCAAATGCATCTCAGAATTTGATTTTTTAGCTTAATTAAGCTAGAAGCAAAATATAACAACTGATCCCATCTTTTAGTGTAAGAAAAACTTTTAGTTTAGGTGATTGTAAGCAATACATCATGGCTCTTGTTGAATATAAAATAGTTCAGCATGTTATATACTTAGTGAACCCACAACAAATGAAAATCAATTCATGAATTTGGTTTCTCGGTAGCTTCTTTATTTTCCTTTTATTTGTTGCATATAGAGTCGGAACTTATAGCTTATACGAATGAAAGTCCTTTTTTTCCCCTTGCATTTATCCTCACTAGCCCTATTTTACTATGATGTGAATGCCTTTGGTTAGTCCTCAGGTTCTGCTGTTAGTGTTTTTCTTATTTTGTATTTCCAACTTTAACCTTTTTTGGGTTCTTGCCTGCGCGCCTTTTGTTTTTTTGGGGGGGGGGGTGCGGTGCTACTGGTTGTGTGGTTTGGTGGTGTGTTCTGCACTCTAGCAGTATAATCAGATTCTTTGATAGGAGATGTCAGATGTTTTATCTAATGATGAACAATGGTGAAATAGTAGTGTTGAGGGGTATAGTATTAAAATTGCCAAATCCAAGCATTTTAGGAATGTTGAGGCGTGTAGGATTAAAATTATAAGTGAAGCAAAGACCTGTGTGCTGATTATGACATTGGGATGACTTACCTGAAAATGATGCGTATGATAAGGAGATCTGTTTTTGGCACATCTTCTACAATGAAAACTCTTCTTCTAAATAAGAAGACTTTGCCCAAGCAAGAAAATACGTTTGATTCAAAATTGTTGTTATGGATATTGCGCAAGTCTGGATCTTTAATTTAGATGTCCACCAGGGTCCTCTTTGCACAGGTTGTAATTGTCCTTGTTCAAGAATGATATAATCCTGGCATAATAACTAATAAGTTCTGCAGATGGATTACATAAATACATCCCATCCAAATTTTATTGGTGGTAGTAAAGCTGTGGAAACAGCATTGCAACAGATAAAGTCCTCTAGGATATCTGCCCCTAATCCAAGACAGAAGGTAAATTTTGTTTATTTTATTTTACATTTTGCCTTTCCACTCCTTAGTTTCACAATCAAGCTTAGCTGTTATATTTGCTGTTTCTGATTTACATAACATCAACAGGATGTTGTAGATTCAGAGAAAGCACCAACATCAGAAAGAAGTCTAAAATCACGTGCTATTCTTGCTAGGCCGGTGAATGGATTTGTACCCGAACAGGTAGGCCTTTTATCCGTCTATGTTAATCCCAGTGGATTCTGTGGGGCCATGCTCTTGGTTTTGACTTTTTGTATATCTACCTGATAACTTTTCATCTTTTTGCATGGGATATAGAGTGTTCGCTCTGCTGCAGATGTCGAGAAAACTGGAAATTCTGGTATTGCCATCTCATTGGTGATATTATCCATATCATATTTACTATGGGAAAGCATTAAATGTTCAACAGTTCTGTGTGAATTGACCTATAAGATATGCTAATTACTCTTCTTATACGGTGATTTGAAAAATCCAAGTCAAGGCCAGGATACAAATCTTATGTCTTGTTTCCAGATGCATTTAAGGATGAGAATGAAAATTAATATAATTATTTGCATTCTGCTATATTGCAGGACCTACTACAACAGGTTCAAGCTGGGGAATATCCTCTATTTTTGGTGGATCTGACAATCGCTCATCTGCTAAAGAGAACGCCAACAAGCACTTTAATGAACCTGTTCAGAGCATGGACCATGCCTTTGACCATGCCTTTTCAATGATTCATCTAAGAGAGGTTTTTGCATGCACTCTTATTCCCAGTCTCTTGTGGATAGCTTACTAAGCTTTCTTTTGGTCTGGCGCATGATTTTGTTATAATTTTCTGAGAAATTTTCTTACAGCCACCAACAGTGCTAAGGCCATCTGAAACCCATTCAGATCAGGAGGCAATTGAGATTACAGTAACAAAGCTGTTGCTGAGGTCCTACTATGATATTGTTAGAAAGAATATTGAAGATTCTGTACCCAAAGCAATCATGCATTTTCTGGTAAACAATAATTCTTCTTGGGATTGCACCTCTTTTGGTTGTTTATTACTCTATATTTCTTTTGTCGCATCAGTTTCCCATTATCACTGCCTGTAGTATTTATAACCTAAGGTTTCATGGCTGGGAGAAACTTTTGAGTGTGGCATACATTTCCTGATAAATTGGCATTGATTTTGAATTGGCAGTTACTGCTGTCATACTCATTGATACCTTTCTTCTTCTGATCTTTCTGTTTGTTCGAACATACTTTTTTTTCTCTGATTTTAATATTGTGGATATTAACCTAGAATGTTAATCCACTATTTACATTGATACTTCTGTACATGCAGTGTTTAATTGTTGCTGACTACAAGCAAATAAGAATATTCTTATTGGTATTGCAATTTTTTCCTCATGGGGTTTTCACTGCTATTCTTCAGTATCAGAAATTTAAAATATTCAATTTTGTAGCTGTTTTTTCTTGGTTATGGCGTGACTTTGTGATTATGTGGGTGGTTGGCTTCGTAACATATTATGCTCTTGGAGAACCAATTCCATGCAATTTGTTCCAAGTATATGTTTTATGCAACTTTTGGGCCACCAGCACCCTGAGATATCTTCTGATGCTGTGAGACAGGTTATTTTATGAGGTCTCAAGCAAACACCACGACCTTCCCCCACCCCCACCCCCACCCCCGGGGCAGGAATAAATAAGTGAAGCACAAAATGAATGTCATCATACACTTCTAATTTATAAAGTCACTCTTTCTCCCTCCATAGTTGTCTGTCGGTTCGTATGTCTGTGTGCGTGCCAATATGGGAATCCCTGCACTGAGGTCTCCTTTTGTTTTGGCAGTTCATGTTATTGCTTTGTCATCAATTGAACTGTAAGATATCACTGGTAACTTGGTAAATTAAAACAAAGAATGTTCTAGTTTTTTGACAACGAATGACGAATTGTCATTTATCAGTATGAATTTTTGATGAAGAATGACGAACTATCATTTATTAGTTTGGAAGAATGGTATCAAGTAAATGTCAGCTTATGACTGGGAAGACCTTGGATTCTCAATTGTGGAACTGTTGCTGCTATGTTAAATAGTTCTGTTTGCTTGCAGCTGAGGTCTTCTGTCCCAAAAACAGTAGAAACAGTTCTGGTTTTACTTTTCTTCAAGTTTGCTGTTTAAAAAGGATGAAGTACAACTGATTAATGTAAGTTTTTTGCAATAAATGATTGACCCAGGTAAACCACACCAAACGAGAGCTGCACAATGTGTTCATCAAAAAGCTTTACAGGTAATATATATGTAGCTAATCTTGTCATAATGGTGTTTTAATGTCAACTTTTTTTTTGAAAGCGTCATACACTAGGTACCTCTGGTCTTCTGGTGGACTCTGACCTTCAAGTTCTGTGTCTGCTTAATTATTCATCAGTTATATTGACTGGGATAATGGTAACTTGTATCAGAGACAATTTATTCGAAGAGATGTTGCAGGAACCGGATGAGATAGCCTTGAAGAGGAAACGTGCTCGAGAGACACTTCGTGTTCTTCAACAAGCTTTCCGAGTGAGTGCTTGGATCCTTGTGATTGTCTGTAGCTAAATGAACATTTCAAGTTTGAGTCTATTCATTCTACAGTTTGGAGGTTTATTGCTATGTTTCAATTTCATGCATGAATGCTGTTAGCATGTCAATTTTGTCGATCAGGCTAAGTATAGACTCTTTGGGTTTTGTGGTTGTCGTCTTGTGATCTTTTCGGGCAAAGGCCTTCTACCAGAACAATATCCTGTCTCTATGGATTGCTAAAGCTCCAAAGTTCATGCCCTTCCCATTCTCATCTATAGTTTGTTCTGATTGGATCTTGTTATCGTTTGTTTTCCTTTTCCCTTTTACTCCTTCCTTTTTTTTTATAACAAATTTTCTAATTTTTGGTTGCGAGTGGAGTTTTTTGTGTTGCTAGGTGATTAAGCTAACCAATTGCAGATGGTAAACCTCCTTGAAAAAATTTGAATGGAACTTGTGCAATTGAAGGCAATGTTTTGTTATCCTTTTTATCTAGGTTTTGGATGAGTTGCCTCTTGAAGCTGATACAGTAGAGAGGGGCTACAGCTTAAGTACAGACACAACTGGTCTCCCAAAGATCCATGGGCTGCCATCATCATCCTTCTACACCACCAGCAGTGGTTCAACTGATTCCTACACTGCTCCAAAAAATCTCAAATCCCGCAAGTCATCTCATTCTGGAGAGCTCCATTCTCCATTTTATGGCAATGCTGACTCTAATGGAGGGGGGCGAAATTATCTTTATCCTGCAGTTGATGTATAGGCTGATTGCTGACATGGTGGATGGAAAGACATTTGATCACTGTCCAGCAGATTGGAGGACATCTAGGATCATGGCTTTCGGATCTGGTGGAGAGCTAGTATTCTTTTATGAAGAAAAAGTTGATAGTAAGGTTGACCATTATTTTGCCTACCCATCTATTTTTTCATTTCCTTCCCATATATAGTTTGTTTTAAGTGGTTATCACAAGCTCCAGCATAAAAGGTCTTAAATAAAGGAGCCATTGCTTCCATCTTTGCTAGCAGTGGTGACCTTTTCGTTGCTGACAATATGCCTAAATTTATGGAAGTGTATTTAGTTTCTTTACCGAGGTTATGCAATTTTGTTGGTCCTGCTCTCGTGTTCTTCACGATCATGACTGAGCAAGTTCTCGGATGTGATTTCAACCATGTTTTGGAGGTTTGTGTACAGCATATAAAGTTTTGCTTTTTCTACTGGGAGAACAAATGTATCTCTAACTCGATATTAATTCATATTTTGACACGGTAGTATTCCTCCTGTTCATGTATGGCATACTGTTAAAGCCTTTCATATCGAGAATTTCTTGATGTAATTGTTTCTTCTTGAGGTGGTACAAGTATGAATCCGGTAAACCTTTATCAGAAAAGAGTGCTTGGTTGAATGCCCTAAAATGTTTGAAAGACAAATACTTGGCCTAAATGAGCTTTAAGATCTTGCACCGGGGCAGTACAACCATGTCCTTGGCATCTGTTTTAAATTTGCTCAAGAGTAATTGAATGAAACGTGGACAAGCCCAATATAGGCATCCAGGGGAGACCCCTGGAATTTTGTGCCCCCTGTGTTCTATTGTTAATGTTGTGTTTTCACTTTATTGATGTTTTAAAATAAGAGTTATCATCTCAAATTGGATACATGTTTTTTATTCCTGTTGTTTGAAACAGTAACTTTTTAAAATTTTAATGTGCATTTAACTAGAAAATAGTTTAAAGTCAAAGTATACATGTGTAAATTCATTGATATCACATCATCTAAACATAATGATTGCTGTATCTCCATTAAAAGTTGGATCCCCACGACTTTACTATGTCTCTATTAGCATGGAGAGAGTATTTTAGTAGTATCATGTTTGCCTATATTGCGGGAATAAATAAATTTTAAACCATATGCCGGGGCCTGCCTATGTTAGTAGTCAAGAAAAGAGGGGAAAGTGCCATCCGTATTATATTTTTCTAGTCATCCATTCAAACCGCAAAATTTCACAGAACGTCCAATTCTGAATTATGTGGAATAGGAAGGCCAACAGTGCACTCTTAGACTGGCTAAACTGGAAGCTCTTTCCATCTCCTAGTTCATTTTTTAAGGCCTAGCCATGCTAGAAGTTTCATCGATGAAAATGTGGCGTACATGTTTCGCGATCTCTAAATTGTTCTCTGGTAAAGCAGATATAGGTGAGTGAAGTAAATGCCAAACAACACTGTCCCTTGCCCTGCCCAAGCTTTCCCCATCTCTCCTTTTTGCTCCCTCTGTGTTCTGTGGTAGCATGTCAGATTGATTGTCATGAAGGCAGGAAACTAGAATCCCTAAAACATAACAAACTCTAACGCAATTAAACCAACCACTTGGCTGGGTGACAGCAGCAATCTTCATGTCGTATACAAGCAGCGTAAATAGGCATTCCTCAGCGAGAAAGGAAGAAAGAATCTTGGTCACTCAGACAATCATCAATTATATTCTATAAAATGTTCAGCAACTCCTCCGATACATGCATACGCTTTTAGTATTATGGACAGAAGCGTCTGTACAAGTTAGAGGCCAGCTCATTCCTCCCTATAGATCAAGAAAAAGCCACCGCTCATGTATCCAATTAGTCATTCACCATCTTTGATCAAAACTGTACATGATTAGCTAAACTAATTCACCACCTTTGGACGGCACATGCTCCGCTACCCATCTACTCAAGATCTGCGTTGCTAGAAAGCCAAACCTGCTCATCAAAATTCGAAGGAATCTCGAATTCCGTCCCCGAAGCATTAGCAAGTTCATCTAAAGTCTCCTGCTAATACAACGTCACCAAACATATAACTGTGTAAACTTTGTGAACATATTAATAGCAGTGAATTCACATATCAGGTTAAAAGAACAATTTCCAAATTTAAGGGAAAACAACAGCACAAAATTAAGTTTAGAATTGGAGATGTCAAACTACAGAACTAGGCCAAGAAAAAGCATTCCTGTAAATTTGAAGGAAATCTATATAAAGATAGTTATCAGAAATAAAGGGAACTTCCAACAGTTCAGCACAGCCAAATTTTTTCCCCCCCTCTTTTTTTTTTTTTGCTTTCAAAAAACGAAAATGAAATTAACTTTACAATTCAACTATCACAACTGGTTTCTTCATGCAAAGAGACGAGGGAAAAAATAGTTAGGGAATTAATATTTGCATGCTAGTAATAAGTCCAGAATTGCAAGCCTTTAACAAAGTTCATCTAAGCTAATAGTTGCAAGAAAAAAAGAGCCAATAGTCTCTGCTAGCCAAATGTTAGAATAAGTATGGAAGCATCATGGCCCCCTGAGTTAGTCAATAGATGAACTACTAGTATCAAGTCAGGAAGCTTGTCACCATGGACGTATATAGTCTCTCTTCCACTAAAACACAGAGCATCTAATTTTGGAACTGTACATAATGTATATCAATCAAAACCAAAGCTACCCTTGATGAGGTGTTCCAAGGAGCAACAACATGATCCACTGAAAACCCCAACCTCACCCACTCTCCTCAAACCCACAAATGGTAAAATGGAGCATATATACCTGGATATAAGTGGAAAACTCTATAATATTTATACAACAATGAAAAATGAACAAATGAATTTTCAAGAGTCACAAGTGTTATCAAAAACCTTAAAGATCTTGAAAATTAGGAAATTTTTACCTGTTCATCCAGGTTAATTGATGAATTTCCTAATCCAACAGGAGAATCACCACTAAGTCCTTGAGCAGTTTCCAGCAAATCCTGAAAATGACAGGTAAATTAGATACATCCAGAAATTGAATGCAATTGGAACCATCAAGGAAAAGTAAAGTTTGATTTGCAGGAAAAACTTACTAAAACAAATTGCAGTAAGTTCACAAAAAGTGCAAGCAAAACCAACTACCAAATATCGTCATAAGTGATTCATAATAAAACTCATTCATACTGTAGTTGGAGTTAACCAAGATATGATATGTAGAACTGTGCAACACAGAGTTGCTTCATAATTGCTTAAGGAAAGCCACTTAAATTATAGCAAGCAGCAACAAGAGAGTAATTTCAACTCAAGTTATCTAACCTAATAAAAGTCCTTTTTTCCTAATGAAATTTAGTAGTACTAGCAGATTTCAAATGTAAAAGTGCTTTTTTGATGTACACATTTGCAACTCTCAAATATGTTCTCAAGTAAGATACAAACTACTATCCTAGCTTTTATCTTCTTCTGTTTTTCTTTTCTCCTCCTTTTTATCCCACAATGCTATGCAGCCTATACCACTTAAGAGGGAAAAGCTAAGTTATGGTGTCATGATGAGTCAAAGAAATGAAAATCTTGAGAAGTAGAGCACTTATAGTTCATTTAGTAGAAGAGTAGAATTCTTGAGAACCTTGCACTGGTGAGAGGGAGTTTCTTAAAAGAGTTTCATTGCAAAAGAATCTACAGCTACCTGCGCATTTGGTCCAAGTGAAGGGCAACCAGACTCCACAAACATGGGTTTTGCATCTTCTGAACTTCCCTGTACAAGTCAAAAAAAAAAAAAAGAAAATTCAGTACCAACTGACGGTGTATGTCCAGTTGCCACTTATTTCAGAGCAATTTCAGCCAAATTAATCAAAAAAAGAAAAAAAGTACCCACAATAAGGCATCAAGGGTGAAAGATTAACTATATTACCAGATACATAAAAGTGATATCTAGTACATAAGTATATTTCAGAATCTATCTCTTATTCAGGAGATCACTAATCCAAATCCCATCATCAACAAAAATTCCTAAGGAGATATTCAAATGTCATCTATTGTCTCAAAGTGAAAATTCCCTATCATTCTGAATATCTGATGCAAAAGCAAAACAACCAAATTTTAAAGAATTGATTCAACTCAAGTTACCCACAGATAAAATACCTCTTCATCCTGGTTATGATATGAATTTTCAGGTTCCATGCTAGAAGCCTTCATCTCTGGAGTTTCCTGGTGATTGCATGAACACCATGAGGTCCATAAAGCAGAAACATGTTTGTATATGATCATAATGGAGTATAACACCATGGCTAAAGGTCAACATCTTATTACTGTTTATATATAATGAGAGAGAAACTATTTACCGGATCGCTTTGGTCGAAGTATGCACTTCGTCCTCCCTTAGTAAGATCCCGCAAAGTTCCCTTGACAAGAGACAGAAATTGTCAGTCAAAGGCGAACTCCAACCAGAATAATATCAGGCAACACAAACAGCACTATAACATTAATCAGAAATTCAAATACCCATAGTCTTACAAGTCACAAACACATTGTAGTAGACAATGAGGTATTCTGGCACAAAGCTGTCATTATTATAATCCATGAAGGCTACCAAAGCACGATGCATTAAAGAATGCAACAGCCCAATGATCTTCCACACTAAAAGTCATAAATAAAAAATGCCAACTGATTTCCAAAGCAGTTCACAACTATATGAAGGAGAAATTTAAGACTAACACAAAATTACTTTGCAATTCATTTTACATAGGCCATATGTTCACTGACCAAAAGCAAAATAATTCTACCAATTTAGCCCTTCTAGTCCCATAACCAGCCTAGCTCATAAAATGTTTTCATTGATTAAAACAAAATGTAGATGAAGGCTAATCCGCCCAGAACAACAAATGATTAATTAAAAACAGAAAAGATAAATTACACAACACGTCAGACAAGCTTCTACCTTGTTAGCCCACATTAATCCACAAGCATTGCAGAGAGTTCTTGGACCTCCTGGCCCCCGTCGCATTGCTGGAGTTGATTTTTCACTAACCCCACAATGTTGACACCTGCGTGAACTAGTGAATACATGGATAGTTAAACAACCACATGTAGAACAGAAAGGATGCGTTTACACGAGTAAATGATAGCTTAATAGAATAACTCAAAAATGAGAAAAAGCTCCAACATAACTCGTTCACTTCTGTTCCAAAAAACAATGCAAATATGAATTGTATCAAACAAGCAAAAGAAAAAACCTCTGGAAGTACCAATTATCGGAGAAGATTTTAGAGCACTTACACATGTTCTTGATGAGGAGTGACTTCGCCTGACTCCCAATTTTCAGCAGCTTTTCCTGCATCTTTTAAAGAGGCAAATTGTCCATTTTTCCGATGCATCCTAATCCAAAATAGAACCAGAAAGAGAATCTCTCTCAATTTTATACCACACACAACACAACAAGCAGTTTGCAATATCACAAGTGTCAGAAATAAATATAAAGCATCTACTGAGCAGAATATTGTATAGAGAGTCATGGACGATGATCTAAACCATTGAATTGCATGCCGTCCTCTACAATCATGTTCTTGTGTTCTATTATCTTTACTCAATCTTATTAGAACTACAGTCACCACTCACCAGCCATCCTAGACCTGCTTTAAGCTCAGGGTCATGATCATTCAAAATTGTAACCCAGAAAAACCAAATCCCATAATTTAGAATCAAGTCTCATAGCATACGAAAGTTAAGGAACACTGCAACAACTAGCAAAAGAATATGATCTTTGAACCGCACCTCTGTGCAACTTCTTTTCTGCAAGTGTACCGAATCTTCTTCTCAAAGCATCTCTCTTTCCTCTTCTCACGAAATCTAACCAATGACGCAATTCGTCTAGACACATTTGGTTGACTGGAACCATCATCTGTAGTCTAGAGCATTATTCAAACGGTAGCATCAAACTTTGCAGATGAACAGAACTAGAAAAAAAGAAGTATTTGCAAAAAGTACCTTACAATTTTGTTGCAACAGAAATTCAGAACTACGTATACTACGTGGTACATCACGCCCTCCCAATAGCAAAAGTACCGCCTGCACCTATATAGAGTAATTCCAACGATATAAACATCCCTTGCTTCTTTATGCAATTAAACGGAAAAAAAAAATTATTTCCTTACCAAATACCGGAACAACAAAAGTATTGTAATCATTTCTCACCAAAAAAATAGAAAAATTACACCACAACACATGTTCAAATAACAATTAAAAGAAGAAACACAGAAAATTAAACCAAATAAATGGAAGCAACACAGGAGGAAAAATGCTAAAAATCTCATTTGCCAATTATAATTGAACCTTTTCGGGAGGAACAGCAGGGAAAACATAGACTTCGCCTTCGAAAGAGATGGTGAGCTCACTAGTCCGTGATGCCATGGGAGCTCCGCCGGGGCTAGTTAGTATAGTCGCTATTGGCATGGAGTTGACAGCTCGCATCTCCCGAGCGCCGCTATTGATCCGTTCGTCAACGGCGCCGATGTCGTCGGCGTCAAAGCCGCCGGCGGAGCCGTCTTCGTCAACTTGAAATGGCACGTTCACGTATCGATCCTTGTACGGCCGTTTATGACGTCGTCTTCCGTTCATCGTCGACGCCATTTCTCCACCATCACATGCAACGATCCAAAAACCCTAACCCCCGAGCCCAGCTCAGCAGCTCGGGCGAGTAAGTCCACTGCAGATTACCACCAGATAATCCGAATTGCTCTACTCCAACTGTGATTAATAAACTTGATTAGGAAGGAGAAAATAGCGTTGATTTCATAATTACTTTCACGTTTTTGCCTGAAAAGGGGTAGACTTGGAGTTGTTTGGAAGGGAGGGGGGGAGAAATAATTTAATGAGTATGCATTTTCAATTTCATTTAATGGTAGGGTCCCAGACCCAAATGGGGAGATAAATCACGTGACAGGTGAGAGAGGAGTCACGTGATTGGCCGGGCACATCATCCAGGTAGTATGATTAATGGCTGATCAGCCGGTCAAATTAAAGATTTTCTTTTTACGACAATGATAATATTTTTATAACATAAATCTATCCTAATCTATAAGGATAGCAAGGCTAAATGGGCTGTGCAGTAGGATTAACGGTTGATCAGTGGATCAAATTAGATATTTTATTTTCCGACAATTATAGGAGAGTAAGGGAGTAACAAGTTATTAAAATCTATCCTAATCTAGAAGAAGTAGAAGGCTAAAAGGGCTGTGTAGTAGGATTAATGGCTGATCAGCAGATCAAATTAAATATTTTATTTTCCGGCAATTATAAGAGAATCTAAAGAAATCATATATATATATATATATAATAAAGTCGTATTTTCATTCTTATCCTTTCATGTTTTTTCTTTCCTACGTGACTTAACGAGACGGCAAGTACTTTCCTACGTGACTTGCCCTTTTTTTGTTTAGATATATATCAATTCTTATTTCCTATAAGAATTCTTAATAATATATAATTCTTATTTTCTACCCAAAAAAGGAACTAGAAAGTAATGCGATATAAATAAAAGAGATATAAATATTTCTATTAGATATATCTCCAAATTCATGCCAATAATTTGTGTACTGCATAAGGAACCGAAGTAAATAAGAATTGTTATCACTATAAAAAGTTGAAAAGTAATTAATTTCAAAAGAAACCATTAATAACAGAAGTCAATATATGATGTTGCAAATAGGATCCTTAATAAATTTTATTATTAAGTGCGTTATCAAGGCATAGTGCATAGCACGAAATTTATGGAAAAGAAAAAGTTAATTGAATCTAATTAACTATATGTATTTGACCCGCACAGTCAAAAATAAATTCCCATTTGAGCACGGATTTGTAAATTCCTATAAACCTGTTCGATGTTAATCAAAACATGCAGGTTATACTCATTGCTAAGTTATATGATTCACAATACATCTCTGCTCAGATGGTGTGGAGTATTTAGTTTGTGGACCCACACCATAGGAATCCATGCACTTAAAGGACTCGATATAGTTGAGGTGGTCTTTCAAAATAGGTAAAATCTGTCTTGAAAACGCACTTTTATTTTCTATAAGAATTCTTAATATTATAAGATTCTTATTTTCTATCCAAAGTTATGTATTTTAAACAATTTAAATCAAGATAAACCTATTTTTAATGTTCTTATCAATTCTTATTTCTTATGCCTACACTACATATAGCCTTTAATATATTAATTTCAAGTATCAAATTCATGATTAGGTATTTTCAATGCAAGCAGTTGGCACATTAAAGTATCGATTTTGGGTTTTCACTCCTTTTGATTATCAGGTATATCTTCTTTCATTACATATATTTTTTTTAAAAAAAAAGGCATGTTGATCTTCAATTGTAAAAGTTTAGTAACATATCTTGAATTTTTTTTTATTTTCTGTTTGTTTTTTTATGAACACAGAGGATTAGTAATATATCTTGAATTAGTAATAAATTTCTCTTATATTTCACATATTATATCTCACATAATATTTTTGCCTTTAATTTTGATAAATCATTATCAGATTGGTGAAACCGACAACCAATACCAACCTAAAACATCTTCTTCGCATATCTCAATTAGTATAATAGATTATTCTAATCAACACATTTCAATACACTTCATATGAATCATTCATCAGAAGGTTCAACAAAAATCACAGAGGAAGGGAATTCTCATAAAAAGATTTGCATGAGAAGGTAGATTTAATATACTATTTTACTTTCTTAAATTATAATATTTACGTATTGTTATACATAACTTTGAATGCGATAAATCATTTATCTTTTTATACTTAGTTATTCTGCTTTGCTATCATGCAGTGATAATGAAAAATCAATAAATGCTGATTTGCACAAACAAATCGAGGAGAATGTTCAAACAGAATAAAAACAAAAACGAGTTTTTGAAGAGTAGAATATTATTTGATACTATTTACTGCACTTTTTATTTATTTTCAAATTTTTTATTGTTATGGTATTGTCAAATGTTATTTTTTTCATTTTTAAATTATTATTTATTGAATTAGATGTTCAAATTTATATTATAAGAATACTTTATACTACAATGCGCATATAGTAATATATTTAAAAAAGATTATAATAAAATATATATTAAGTTTGTATTTCATATCGACAATTTTTATAAAATTAATTAAATAGTTTATTATTTTCGAAAATTTCCGTTAAACGAACGGGAACAAAACTAGTTGTGTATAAGGAAGTAGCAGGTTATTAAAATATGTCCTAATCTAGAAGGAATAGAAGGCTAAAACGGCAGTGTAGTAGGATTAATGACTGATCAGCGGGTCAAATTAAATATTTTATTTTCTGGCAATTATAAGAGAATATAAAGAAATTGTGTATAAGGGAGTAACAAGTATAAGAATTTGATTAGACTAAATGGATGTTCTGACATAGATAAAGTTTGAATCCCCCGATCTATAACCTAAAAAGAAATTTAATCCGTTTTTTGTGACCATTGAGCCAAAATTTAGTGGTTGGTCAAATTAGAGATCCAACGTGCTTGAATGAATTGTGTTTTCATGTCAGAGGATTGATGATCACTTTGGTGATGGATTGTGTTCGATGAATCAGATACTGTATAAAGTATAGGGAAAATGGCCAATTTAGTCCCCAAATTTTTTTTTACTGTCAATTTGATCCCTACTTAATTTTTTGGGCCAATTTAATCCCTATACTTACTTATTGGTTCCAATTGAGGAATACCGCGGCGGCGCCACCTTGTAATTTCAATCAAGTTTTTAATTAAGCACTTAAGTAGGGGTATTTCGGGTATTTCTAATGGTAACTCCGAGGCCCCATTAACTCCCCCTCTTCCCTTGACCAGCTTCACCTCCTCAACCTCTACAACAACCGTCTTAACAGCACCATCAGCCCTCTCACCCGCTGCCTCAACCTCAAGCTCCTCTATCTCTCCAGCAACGACATCTCCGGCGAAATCCCATCAACAGAAAGAAAAAACCCAAAAAGAAAAATATTAATATTCGGTAATTTCCCTCGTGCTTTTGCCGCGACCCATCTGCTGCTGCCTTTTGCCTTTGCCGGTGGGATGGGCCTGCAACTTTTAACCTAAAGTGAGAGGACATGTAAAAACGGAAAATGTTGAAAATAATCGGAAGATGAATGCTCGTTTCTTGCAAAGATCACTTCCCAGTTGGAAACAACAATTAGGTGCTCACATTTTATCACGACCAAACTCCTATAAAAATAACATCGTAGCACTTTACTAATTTACTTACACTATTTCAGTGTACCGAAGTCTCCATGCTGGAAACCCAAGATGGCATCTTGTGGATCCATAAATTAGTAGCAGATCAGGATCAGCTCCTCCAGAACCTGTTAAGACAATACTAACAAGAATAATATAAACTTGCACAGACAATGCTAGAAAAATATCTGCTAAATGTTCGGAAAATCTGGGAAGCCAAAAAGAGGCAAGACAGGATACCAATGGCTCCTAAAGCTTCAGCCATTTGAGGCTCTGTAAAATCTGACTTTTCCTTAGTACCATTTGCATAGTGCTTTACAAAGAGATAATTAGCTGCTTTGGCAACTGCTTCTTTTCCATCCTCAAATGAAACAAACTCCAAAGTCAGATTTCTGCGGGTAACAAGCCGACCATTAACAGCAGCCTCCTGCAAGAAATCACAATCCAAGTCTATTATGCACCATCTTTCTTTCAAGTTTATCAAAATTCAACTAGAGCTTTGCATCAAACCTATGACATTGGCTATATCAACACTTTTTCCCCCACTAAAGCCATACTTGGAAAGGCGTTACTTAGCTATTCCATTTAAATAATCATATCCTGTTGCTTCCTTTCATGTTTCCTAACACCTTTATTATCCTTCAGTCCACCATTACAAGTTAATATTTCACTCTTCAATCCAAATAATTGGACTGGCTACAGAGACCATGTATCTTGAAAAAATATTACCACTCAGGCAATAAGCAGGAGAAAGGGCTTTGACACATCTCTTGGGCTCAACAACTCGGCAAATCAAAACTTCATTGGATAAATACAGAGAGCATGCTGCCCAAAATTTTAGGACTACACGATTCCTTCAATTGAGTTGATCTTAGTACAAATGAGGGGTTTTGAGGGTTGTTTGTAACCCTAGGACCAACTGTTATCTTTTTGCTCAAAAGTCATAGTTTATTCTTTTGTACTAGTACTTAACCTGGAAAGGCGTACATGTAGTCGAGTTTCACTTGTGCATTCCGTTTACTCGATTTTGGATGTGAAATCTTCAATTGTTTTACTTTGATGATTTTAGGGTTTATTGGCGATTAAAGCCAGTTTGAAGTGAAAACTTTTGAAGTATCTGTACTTGAACCGGTGAGTGTACCATTCCTCTCATTTGCTAGTTAACTTGGTTTCTGTCCCTGCAATCTGCGATTTAAATGATTGCACTATCTGTTTATTCTGTTTGAGACGAGGGTGTACTTTATCACACTCATTCTCTTGTCTGTCCATATGCCTATTTACTGTGTATAATCTGTTAATTGTATCTGAGTCTGTTCGGACGTCGTTTGGAGGCTGGTATCCAACGACCTTTCTGTGACCTCTGAACTCAACACCTGTGGCTAGTTACTCAAGTCGAGCCGGCAAGGGTCTGGTCGATTAGATAACGAACCACGGTAGTCTGTTTTGGGAATCTTTGGGTATTGAAACTCTTGATTCCGGTATACTCAAGTATTACCTTTACTGTTCTTGAATGGAGTTCGGGCCCGGTAGGGGTATGTTTGGTGGACGAAATTTGGTGTAAAGTGGGGTCTACGAATATGTTGGTTCTATTTACGTTGACGGAGAGTCAACGGGTTCGGATCAAGTACTGCAAATGGAAATCTGGCTCCTGAGAGCCACTTGTATCTTTTCCCTTTGAATCATTGTGTCTAAATGCTTTTCTTGATATTTGGTATGTGTATTTGATTGATTAAACTTGAAAGGCCATGATTTTACCTCTACATGTTTGGTACCTCATTGAGCGTAAGTTCATACCCTTTCTGTTGCCTTTGTTTTCCTTACAGGGGACAAACTTGGAAAATCACGGTTTTGAAAGAAAAGGGTCAAGCTAGTATATATGTCATGTTGTTAAACTCTTTAAAAACGAAGTCCTAATTGTATTTTGTGTAGTATGAGTACCTTGGATCGCACTTTATGTTAATTTGTTCGAGACTTCAATGTAAATATATGTATAAGTGTTTAACCTTGTCGATTAAATGTATTCCGTTGAAACTGTGATTTTATGGTTTGGTAGGCATGTTCTCACCTTAGTAGTTTCCGATTGTTCAATTTTTTTGGGTCCTATCGCGCGTACTATGCTTGGTTTGTGTGAATAGAGTCCGTAGTCTTGACGAGAGTTGAGTAGGCGATCCGCCGAACCCTTTGGTTCGCCTTAGGGTGAGGTGGGATTGTCACAAAACTAATCGATATGAGTCATTTTACACATAACCGAACTAGATCTTGGGCTTGTGCGGTGGCAAAGATTAAGAATTCGGATGATGAGTACTGAGATAATGCATAGCCTGACATTTTCCTGACAAATGATTGCTTGCCCTAATAAAACACTCTCTCTGTATTCCAGGATATCCTGGAAATCAAAACCATCATTCCAGTGAAACTTCTTACGGATGTAGGCTAATGAACAAGCATTCTCAAGCGAATAGTAGGGTGACTTTTAGTTATATCACCAACTTAACTTCTTAGGCAGAGAAACTTGGCCAATCTACAATATGTTCTAATAACTCAAGAATACTTGGGCAGGACATGTGATGCATAAGAATGAAAGTTTAACCTTGACACGAATGAAAAAGCAAAGAAGATGAGCTCCAAATCTGAAGCGATAAAACAATTTCAACAGAACTAATAAAGATCAAACCACAGATTGCCCATCCAACCAATGCACGTGATTAAGCACACTAGAGATGAACATATTAATATTGAAGGTACCCACCCAAACGTCATTATGCAACACTTGACTAAAGCTCAAATGGTGTTAAAAGAAATAAGTCTCAGCATGTGAAACTCACATTTAAAAAAAAAAAAAAAAATCCTAGATGTTACTGCACAAAAATCAGCTAACAATCTGAATGACTTCATTTTGGAGAATACATATGCCAGCCATGTGTGACAATGAGAGCATCCGAGGTACAAGACAACTGATATTCACCTAAATTTTCTCAACAATTACTCAGCAATTCAACATGATCACATTGTATGACAAGTAAATTCGTTTACACAAATATAAACAACTCAACAACAAAAAGCCCATGCTTACCTATTGAGCTGCATCTTCAGAAAATCTTGCATCAAATGGAGCTGATGAATGGGAATGTGAAGAACCACCAGCAGTTCCACCATGCTGCAGTTCAATAACTAGCCATCTAACAGCTTTACTCATCTGCTCCAGGCGAACTGCACTTATGGGTGGAAGACCACTTGTGGCAGCCTGCCCTGGCTTCCTTGCAACCGAGCCAGTGGCCTCATCTACGAGACACTCAGAACCTATTCTTTGTTTCACAGACTCCACAAACTCCTCTGCTTGATCACAAGCTACTCTAAACAATTCCCATCGCTGTTTAAAATTTTCCAATGCTGCATCAGTGGCCGCCGTTTTTTGACCCTCAGAACTTTCCTTAGCTTCAAGTACATTGGCAGCTGCAGCAACAAATTCTTCATAGGCATTGTTCAGGGAGTCCACATGATTGTCCATCAAACACCTACAAGGTGCCGTGTTTAACATCACTTCAATCACATCGTATCATTGTCACAACATAAAGGGGGAAATAGTCCACTGCATTATTTCCTAAAATTACAAAACATGAAGTTCGTAATGCATATGTAGAAGATTTCTGGTTAAACAACATGTTTGAAATTACAAGATGCAATTAACAGATCAGCAAAAATGACTCGGATAATTTATTATAAAAGACTATCCCCTCCCTTTCGCCTTCACCACACCATCAGATAACCATCAGCTGATATATGAAACCCTCACCAAGCCATACAATTGTGGGATTTCTCTCATCTTGCCTTTTTTTTTCCCCTCTGTAATCTCCCCTTTTCAGGCCGTTCAACTATTAAACAAGCACTCACCAGACGACACCACTATTCATACAGAACACAACCCACAACAAGCCGCAACCTCATTATAAAACTTATATATATGAAAGACAACGATATCCAAAAAGATGAATCAAGGCCTCCAGACCTTCATATCTGTCCAATGGAAATTAACAAACAACATGTAAATCTCACTCCAACAGGCAAAGACCAAGTCAATATGCCCGGACCTGGCTAATAAACAAACCCCACAAAAAGTGCCTTTCGTTGTACTGAAAATTGGAGATTATCCAGTGCTCAAGAAGGCTAGGTCCTAGTGAATTTAGTATCAGCAGTAGCTTATAACTGCTTATCCCCCAAGCACATATATATATATATATATATATATATATATAGTCAGACATAAGCATAATTATTGCAGAGGCAATAAAATCAGGGAAATCTTTTCCCTGCTTCTTTTTCAAAGAAAAACTTCTCTTTTCTTCTGTTATTTTTCCACATATATAGCTGATTTTTTCTCTTTTCGCTATGTTCTTGTAGTAATCTAAGGCCAAAAACTTAAAAGAAAAAGGAAAAGTCAACAGAATCGGAAACAAACAGCAGATGCTAAAATAGAGAGGCTATTATCAATCAAATCAACAAGCAAAGCTTCAATGCTTAGCCCCCCCCAAAAAAAAAAAGAGTAACAAAAAGAGAGAGAGAGAGAAGAAGAAAAGGAAAAAAATTACAACAGAGATCTGTGAACTCACAAAAAGAAGCCGAACCCAGAATTCGTTTTCTATTGTTCTTTCTACGTTCTGCCCAACTACAAATAGCTCCAGTTATTGCAAGGAAAATACGAAAGGGGGAACTCATTCCATCGCTCCTAAAAATAAAAATTTGCTAACCAAAAAAAAAAAATTTTTTTTTAAAGAAGGTAAAAAATAATAATACCCGCATCGCACATTCACGTTACCGGGCTAGTATGGGTCCGAAACCTATGCCGCTAGGCTTGGACCCAATCCTTTGAGACCCATCATTTGTTTAGTGGATTTAAAATGCCGAGAGCTCAAGGGAGGAATGATGTGGAGGCCCGTATGTATTTTCTAAGTTGACAGCCCAAATAATTGTTATCAATTTGCCCCTCTTCTCAATGCAGCAAATTCAATGAACTTGACGGCCGGTAGTAAAGTCGGATGAAGCACAAGCATATTATGTTGTCAAAATTTTGGTGCATTATCAAATGATATGAACATCTATATAAATTCTCACATTAACCAAGAAAATGCGGCTGTCCCCTGCATTTCCTATTGAAATCGACCTTTGTGGAATTTTAGGTGTACTCTATCATGTAGGGATTCCAAGAGTTTTTATGATCATGGATTTTTCCGGTATTTTAGTAGCCATATTCATTTGTCTATTTTTAAAAAAATTTTAATCGTTGATAGGAGATCAAAAAGAACGAAGAATGAATTGAATATTCTTTTGACGTTTGTCCTATTTTTTTTATTTTTAAAGGCTGAATGAAAGCTGAAGCGGGAATACTCCCGTGGCAATTATGAACTCATGATGTTTTGGTTACAATAATCCACCAACTAATATGGTTAAATTCTTAAGAGTACTTCGTAATTCATTAGACACTCGCTAATACGCTTATGTCGTACTTAATTTACCATCTAATCCACCAATTAATATACACTTATGACATTATTTTTTTAAAAAAATATTAACACTTAAACTCTATCTTATGGACACTTGTTAGACAGGCCTTTTTATTAATAAGTTCTGTATGGGAGCATCTTCTTGATTTGGTCGTCCAATTACCAAAGGTAGCTTGAATTTAAATGGATGAAATTAATTGTGAAACATGACTATGGTTGTTTTAGGACCCGGACTCATACATTTCCTTTATTATTACCCTGTCAAATGAAATTGTTCGATCGTACGTAATTAAGTCCAGATAATCACAAGAAGTTGATGTTGATCGTTTCCATTTCTTTTTTTTTTTTTATCTTTTCCTTGCATAATCCTCAATTCAACTCATCAATAATGAGTGGCGCAGGACCATGCCCGCGTCCAACAGCGGGTAATTGTTATTGAACGCTTGTTTGTTCAAACATCGTCCCAGCCATTTTCTGCGAGATTTGTAGTGCATGACAACGTGAAGTGTGAACACAAAATTCCTGCAAATTTAGATAGGCCCTTAGTTTTGAAACAAAGATATTCTCGATATTTCCTTGGATTCCGTTACGAAGAATTTTTTCCGTCACTTTCATACGTTAGTCCAAACTATGAGAAATTACGTATATTTTAAAATTACGGGAAGTTATATAAAAAATTGCGAAACCGTATTTTTAACTCCGCCCTGCACGAGATGACTCAAGCATACAGAAGAAATCTCTCGAGTGTATTAGTATATTCAGTGGGCAAGGATGGACACGAAACGTCACAAGTCAAAGAATTGTACCTCTGAGCTTTGGGTGTTCAGTTGGCATGATTGATGATGCCTTCTTATTGTCAATAAAATTTGGTAAAGGCCAAAAAATCTGACCAATCTTTCTGGATGGTCAGTGTCTTTATGTTTTCAAACATTCTGCGAGTGAATTAGTAAGACTCACAATGATGGATTCAGTCGTATGGTGATCATTGTTTAACTGCGTTGTAACTCGAACATGTTAATTAATAACAACACGTATAGTACCTTAAAAAAAAACACACACACACACACACACATACTGGCCATTTTACTCAAAGCTGTATGCTAGTATATGAACCTAAAATTACAGTGGCATGCAAAATCTCATTGGGAAGACAATACATATACAGGTCAGGAGGCCAAGAAGATTAAACATAATTTATTCTTCTCTAAACCACGTAACAAAGATCACAAGTGCTATTCAATAGGTTTGAAAACTTTTGATGAATCTGATCTCAAGTTCATCAGAAATATTTCCAGCCTGAATATAAATAGGACCGACCGTTGATATTGCTAAAGTAAATTCCTATCCCATTATTTATAGCACTTCATTGGACGAGACAAAATATTATCTTGTTTGCTTTAATGAAATCCAACCCCAGTGCATGAAAAAGATAATTGGCATCAGGGAGAAATTTGGACGGACGACGCCGTGTCATGAATAGTGCTCCAATTTCGTTCATCCGCCCCATCCCCAAACCCTCAAACCATGGATAAGTGATTAACTGAGGGATAGATGTTCACACTTCGGAAAAAAATAGAATAACCGGCGGATCTAATTTAGATCGGCGATCGGATGTCGGTAAAATGGAATTCGAGAAAATTGAATAATATCCAACCTTAAATTTTGATAAAAAAAATTAAAATTTGGTAAAAAAAAAAAATTGGAAATGGATATTGAAATTCGATTCTCGAATTCTCAATTAGTGACCAAATTATCTAATTTTGTATTTTAATTAAATATTTTAGATATTTCATGCCTACTGATATATAATATTACATATTAATATATTAATCTATTAGTCAAAATGTTATAAGTTATAATTTATACTTATAAACAAATATGTGACCTTTTTAATTAACATGTTAATAACTTTTATATTGTTAATTACATATCAAATATACTTAACTAATCTCTATTAGAAAACCAATCTAAACCTTCGCATATTTTACCGAAATACCGATTCTTCGGGCGAAATCCAACTACCAATATCCAATTATCCAAATAAAAAGTTTAGACTTTAGACGGTGATTGAATATTGATCTTTTAAAAAAAAAAAAAAAAAAAAAACCGAACCGTTGAGCGGCCGATGAACATCCTACTAACGCGGGGGAGAACAAAGAAATTTGAGCACCTACAGATCTCCTTACTCAAGGATAATTTCGTCTTTTCATTAAAAAAGAGCTCGTTCTGCCGATTAAAGAATTGCAGCTTTCAACTAATTTCCGTATGGCAAAAACTTGGATGAAGCCGGTGCAAAATCCAACTAGTAGACCTGATGGTGTCTATTAGCCACGTGGAAAGAGGAGGTAACTCTTGAGACTGAGAGAGGGCTCGCTGTCCATCGCTATCAAAGCGGATCCCAACTTTTCGCCTAGACTACCCACCTCAATACTTCAGGAACTAGTGTCTTCACCCGTGCTATGCACGGGTTATATTTCAAATCAAAATAATATTTTATATATTTATATATTGTGTTACAACATAATAAATATATATAGAATAAAAATTTTAAAGAAGTGTATGCTTAATATCTTGAAAAAAAATTGTAATCTATAATTATTTACATAATAAAAGAATTGTTAACGCATTTAAGGAGAGAGTTAGGTCGGGTGGTAAGGTGAAAAGAGTTTTCTAAAAAAGTCAATTTATCAATATCCAACAAAATATATTACTATGTTATACCCATATATCAAAACTTATAATACAAAAAAATAAATTATAACCAATTTATTTTCTTCCATTTTTAGAAAAAAAAAGAAGATCTTACTCCTATCTGTGCCCCTAAATTTGTTGAATGTATTTCGATTAGCATTTTTCATAACCTTTAACGTATATTTTAAAGAAAATTCTCCGTACTATGTGTTTTTAGTGTTCTTAAAATTATTAAAAATCACTATCATTTCTCTCTTTTCTTATACGCCAGTTAGTCATCAAATGTCTCCTACGACTTTCATACCTTTTATCATGGTACCACCCTTTTTATTATTATTTTTTTTGTCATCTCTGCCATATTCCTGCAATCCCCTTTCTTCTTCTCTCCCTTCTCCGCCCATCATTGTAATCCATATTTTTTCTTCAACCTTTCCTGCTACTTTTTAACACCTCACCATTTTCTTCCCTCGCTCCTCCCCCTATACTTAACATATAAATTTATATCCCTACGATCCAATATATTTAACTTAACCCATCATAATAAAAATATAAAATTGAAAATTAATTACAATGGTTGCAATTATTAGTATCTAAAAATGGAAATGAAAAACTGACAATATCTATAATATCCTCAAGTACTACAATCAATTCATATATATATATATATATATATATATATATATATATATATATGTTTTAACATAGCAAATACATATTTATATATGAAGACAGCAATAAGAAAACATAAAATAATTAATGATATCAAAAGTTATCATTAGTGTTTGGGTTTTACAATCTTATTATATATATATATATATATTAACATAGCAAATACATATTTATATATGAAGACAGCAATAAGAATACATAAAATAATTAATGATATCAAAAGTTATCATTAGTGTTTGGGTTTTACACTCTTATTCAAATCTAATGTTAAATTACAAATTAAGTAGTATTTTAAGGTTGAATGTTCTACATCTTTCTCTTAAACTATAATATTACTTTTTTTAAAAATTTTTTGGTAGAACTGGTGTTGTTATTATCATTATTTTTTTTATCAAAAATGAATATTTCAAAAAAAATTTCACATTAAAAGGCTAGTAGTACTTTGTTTTTTATTTAGTGATTTCATAAATTGGATTTCATGAATGGCACCATTCTTGATTTTTTAAATTCATGACATTATTTCCTTTTTGTTTTCTATTTAATTTTGTCTTTTTACTTAGGATTACTAAGTTTAATGATAAAATGTTATCATTTACTTTTTTACTTTTACTAAGTTTGGCAATATTTTTTTTTATTTACCCTTCCAGTAATAAACTTCAAACCAAATTCTTATATAAGCGGAGCCACTACTTTTTTAAATTAGAAAGACATGAGAGCCACTTCTTTCTTAAGAAAATGTTATTTGCACTCAATTTTTTATTATTTGCAATTCTACCATTTGTTTTATCATATAGTCTAATTAATAAAAATTATATGATCAAAATGATTATTGAAGTGTGAATAACAAAAATGGAGTGTAAATAATCTTACTTATTTAAATTAATAAGAAAGCATGAATGGATGTTATATTTGTTATATTTTCTTATGGTCTTATAGAAGTTTTAATTATTGTAGAATCATAAATAACGCAAGACAATCGGAAACGTGATGGGTTGAAGTTCAAATATGATAACGCTAGTATTTTGACCCGTGCTATGCACGGGGTTATATTTCAAATAAAAATAATATTTTATATATTTATATATTGTGGTACAAAATAATAAATATATATATAGACTAAAAATTTTAAAGAATATACTTAATATCTTGAAAAAAAATTTAATATATAATGATTTACATGATAAAAGAATTGTTAACGCATTTAAGGAGAGGGTTAAGTTGGGTGGTAAGGTGAGAAGAGTTTTCTAAAAAAAAAGTCAATTTATCAATATCCGACAAAACATATTATGTTATACTCATATATCAAAACTTATAATATAAAAAATAAATTATAACCAATTTATTTTCTTCCATTTTTAGAAAAAATATCTTTCTCCTATCTTGTGCCCCTAAAATTGTTGACTGCATTTAGATTAGCATTTTTCATAAATTTTAATGTATATTTTTAAACAAATTCTCCATAATATGTTTTTAGCGTTATCAAAATTATTAAAAATCACCATCATTTTTCTCTTCTCTTATACGCCAGCTAGTCATCAATGTCTCCTACGATTTTCATATTTCTATCATGTTACCACCCTCTCTATTATTATTATTATTTTTTGTCATCTTTGTCGTATCCCTACAGTCCCCTTTCTTCTTCTCTCCCTTCTCTGCCCATCCTTGTAACCCATATTTCTTCTTCAACTTTTCATGCTACTTTTCAACATCTCACAATTTTCTTCCCTCGCTCCTCCCCTATATCTAACCGCTAAATTCATATTCCTGCGACCCAATATATTTAACTTTACCTATTATAATGAAAATATAAAATTGAACATCAATTACAATGGTTGCAATTATTAGTATCTAAAAATGGAAATGAAAAACTGATAATATCTATAATATCCTAAAGTACTACAATCAATATATATATATATATTAACATAGCAAATTCATATTTACATATGAAGAAAGCAATAAGAATACATAAAATAATTAATGATACCACAAGTTATCCTTAGTGTTTGGATTTTGCACTTTTATTCAAATCTATTGTCAAATTTGGGCCAGATATATACAAATTAAGTAGTATTTTAGAGTTGAATGTTCTATATCTTTCTCTTAAATTAAAATATTACTTTTTAAAAAAAATTTTGGTAGAATTGG